AAAATAAAAGAAATAACGAAAATAAAAGAAATAATGAGGTTGAGGGTCGATTACCCGTTTTGGCAACCTCTATAATGTATGATTGTCATTCTCAATTTCTAAGCCATATCGTCGATCGTTGTTTCCCCGTAACAGTATATTATAATATAATAAAATTTTAAAATTTAAAATTTTCTTATTTATTTATTTATTATTGTTTATATTATATTTTAATAATTTTAATATTTTATCTTTATTTATTTATTTATTTATATTATTAATTTTTGTAACTTGATTATAAGTTTTATAAATATTAATCTTTGTTATTTGTTATTATATTTTAAAGTTTTTATAATATATAATTTTGTATTAATATATTAAAATTAAAAATAATTATTATAAATTTAATTTTTTTTTTCAATAGGTAAATATTATTTCTTTAGTTATTGATATTATATTTAAAGTTATATATTGTATATTAGTGAAAAAGACAATATATAACAAGTTAAATGTTAGCTTATCTATATATTTATATTTAACTAATATTAAAAAAAAATTTAAAACAATATTATATATACTAAATATAATTGAGAGCAGCTATGCTTATTTACTTAAAATTTTTTGATTAGATATAAAAAGAATAATAAATTAAAAAAATTGAAAAAAAAAAAATTGGAACTATAATAATATTTGTTATTGAAACTAAAACTAGGTTACTTAAACTATAAGATTTATATAAACAAAAAGAATATCTAAAATGTAGCCAATTGTTTAGTCCTTGTATCAGTACTGATCTTAAAAATATAACCTTTGTTGATATAAATAATAAAGTATAATTGATATTATTTATTATTGTAGTAATAGTTATTATTATTATTGTGTTGAAAAATTAGTTTAAACAGGTTCGGTTTTTTTTTTGTTGTTTTGACAAAATCTGATTGGATGATTGGAGAGAAATGATTATTTGAAGAAGATAAATTGATTTCAGTTTTTTGAAAATTTTGAAATGGTGCAATAAATAGTATCATGATAAAATTATATATAGGGCTCCTAATGATACTACTTTGATACCAATTTGATACCAATTTGATACTTAAATTTATTATAAAACATATGAGTAGGTCACAATCCATATATTAAATTTACTATAGATCGATATCATTTCGATACTAGTTCAATATCAGTTTGGTATTTGTCGAAGCTCTAATTATATGTGAAGATTGTATTAAAACAAACAATAGATCCAGCAACTTTGTTTAAGTATATTTTTGAAAAAGTATTTGACTTAGCAAGTATAATAATATTAATGTGAATGGTTTTTGTGATATAATAAAAAGAAGGAGGAATACAAAAAAACAAAAAAAAAAAAACTGCTATAGATCTTTTTTTATGTAACTAAAGGATAAACAAGATTTTCAAACTTAAATAGACTTTGATCAGAGGTTTTATCTTATTATATCAGTTGTCTTGAAAGTTTTTGAGTTTTTGAGCTAAGGTTTACTTGCGATAAAGAATGTAAAATATTTTTTCTTGCTTAAAATTATTATAAAAAAATTTTTTAACAAAACAAAAAAATCAGAAAAGGATTTTTTATTATTATGAATTTAATTAAATTTTAAGATATAACTTTATTCTATATAAAAAATAAATTTAAAAAAATTAATTACTTAAAAAAAAATAATTAAATTTTAATTTTTTTTATTTTTGATTAAATATAAAAGACTAAAAAAATAAATACTATATTATAACTAAATTAATAATTATAAAAGGATATTTGATATTTTATCTTATATATAAACTATATTAAATAAAAATATAGATTAGTTACTTTAAATTATTTTTTTAAATTTTTAAATAATTTAGTTTTTATACAACATATAAATTATCAGATAAATCAACTTTTGATATTTTTTTTAAAAGAGAAACTTGAGACAAATAATATAACTTTTTTAATTATTTGTTATATAAAAAATCAATAAATGTTTTTTTTTAAAATGTTTTTATTTAAATTTTAATTAAACAATTTGTTAATTTTACAATAATTATATATTTAATATTTTTTGCTAATAGCAAGTTTTTTGAAAATAACATGTGATATCTTTTTTATCAATAATATGTATTAAAAGCCACAATTTTTTTGATTGTTATATTTGTGATTTTATTAATTCAATTTTAATAAAACATTATATAAAATATATTGTTTATTAGATGTTTTTTATATACAGTATTACATTATTTACAACTGCTGTTTTTCTGTTTTAATATTAATTCTTTATTAACAATAAGCATTAATATTTATATGAAAATAAATAAATATTTTTTTATATCAAATATATTTTTTAAAATCGAATATATTATATACTGTAAGTATATTGAATATATTTTATTAAAAAATGTTTATTATTATAACTTTGTTTATTTTATATTTAATTCATAACAGTTGAAGCATCACGAAAATTCACAATTGCAGACATAATCAAGGCCTTTCAATTAGAAATAACAAGTTTTTCCTTTTTTTTTGCATATGGGTTGACTTCATGGATGTACACAATTTATTTACCAGGGATAGACTAGTTGTAATAAAAGTTTGATAACCAATACCAATATCGTTATACAAATATCTTATTTTATTAATCATGAGAATTATAAAATAATTTGTAAAAATCAATCGCTTTACTCATCATAAACTTTTGCTTTTGGTTGGTCATTAAATATTTCCGGGGTTTCTTTGTCGTCAAATTTGAGTATTCTTCCTATTCGAGGATAATATTTCACTACAAGTTTTGTTTCGTCATCCTGTCTGGCACCATATTTAACAAGTAAATAAATTCTTCGAAATTGTGAGTTCCCAACAAGTCCTTCCCAATACCAATCATCACAAATACCGTTAATAAAAACCACTATCAAAGATTTGTAATCATATGATTTCATATTAATGTAGTAAAAATAAGCATCTTTTAAATAATTTAAGACCCTGGAAATGTAGATTAAATTTGAAGCAAATATTAACTTTTTCAAATAATAATTGTTGTCCGAAAGTAATGCCATATTTAACATCTGAACAAAAGGAATATAAAGCATGAGAAAAGAAATAGCAAGTCCTTCATATATATTTAAATATAATTTTAATTTAGAAAAAAATCTAATTTTGCATTGTCCTCCTCCTAATGCACTAAACAGCAAATCGCCTAATAGACCGGAACAAGTTAAAATTCCGCTAATCGCATGTAAATATACAAATATTTTTGACTCGTTTGTATCAATGGCACGAGAATAAAATACAAAACAGAATATACAGTAGTATTGGTTACAACCTACAGTGCGGTATTCATTTTTTTTTAATTTTTTTTACTCCCAATGGCTCGTCATATAGTGCGCTTTGAATCCCTCTTCTACTAGTGATATACTTGGAACCTTTTCATTTTAGTAGTAATTGCAAACCGTAGTAAACGTGTTTTTGACCCTCATTAAAGTTAACATACAGTATTTTTCGATTTATCAAAGGTAACGATACTTTTTTTTTTTAAGCAAGCAAGATATCTAAGTTAATGAATAAAGTGCATTAGATTGTTAAAAGGAGGTTTTAAGCTATTTTTCTTTACGTTAAATAGGAAACAGAATTATACGCAAGATAAAACTTACCGAGACTAATCTTCGAAAAGAAAAGAGAGTTAATAAGATTTTTAGACTTTAATAATATCGGAGGAAAGGAAATACCAAGTCAGGTTAAAACTTTCAATGTAGCATCGCATTATTGCAGATTATCTTTTGAGTATAAGTAATAAAGTTACAGTACAGTACAGTATCATCAAATTTTCCGTATACTTACAGTACTGTGATTGGTAGTCGATTATTAACCGACCCGAAGATCAAATTTTTCCCGGAAATATTTACTTTTTTGCTAGAAATCACGAAATCACTCCATTAGTCACACTAACAAAGTTACAAGTATACGTATTGGAAACTTGTGCAACGCAAATGAAATTTATTATCTAAGGGTTTGAACTTACATAAACTTTATTTCTATCTCTCTCTTTCCAACTTATACACCACTCATTGTCTTTCATGTTTTCTCGCATCCTAACTATCCACACCAACCTTGCTTTCATTCATCGACTCATTAAATCACGTAACGCGATACTTTATTGCGTTGCCTCTGCGCTCCACTTTCCCACAACATTGGTTGCACGAAATTATCTAGAAATTCCCGACATATACTCGTGCATACATAGAATTAGCGTGTAAGTACTGTAATCAAATTATTTCTATAGATAGTGTCGTGGGTAAAAAGAGGGGTACGATAACGCGGTACACGTCGCGTTACGTAATTGGTGTGTTTATGGGAAAGTAATAGTGGGAAAATTAGAATAGAGCATCTTATGTAATCATGCGGCGCAAAGTGATTAGCATGTAAACAATCCTAGCATTTAAACAAACTGACCTGTATAAATATAACCACCGAACGAAGAGAAATAAAGGCAATTAACATTTAGGTAGCATTTACCCGAAACCCACTTTAAACGTCTAAACTCTTACCTGTGTTAACCATTTCTGTCGTTGTTTACACGCCCATAACTTGCTCACGTGATTATACGAACCCAGAGTTTGGCTAGAAAGATTGGGAAAGTTCTAGCAATTATAAAATTTCGAGTATAGGACATAAGGTGTAAAGTTAGGATGCGAAACAAGGTCGGTCAAATCGTGACACGCCTCAAGAGTTTAAAGGAAATATATATTTCTTTCAAAACCAAATTAATGTATAATAATTGTTGGTTTCAAAGATTTAATTACATCGCAATACTTGGGTGAAAATCTCAGATCACTTTTAATGTTTAATTTAACTTGTCACAATTGCCATCGAAGGATGTAGAGGGAGAACTTTATCTTCTATAGTTTCAGCGCAGCCAATGCTGGATTAATGGTTAATTATTAGAGTCACAAGAGAAATCAGTTTCATAGTTGAAAATATTACTGTATTTGATAGGAAAATTCAAGTTTAAAGAGATCAAAAATGCTTAATTGTTGTCCCTAATGCAATAAGAAATTAATTTATTAGAATGGATACCGTATACACAATTTGAAGATGTCAAATAAAGCATATCTCTAAAGGAGGATATGGCACAGTGTATTCTGCGACATGGGAAGATGGTTTTATTGAAAATGGGATGTTCTCAATAAGAAATGGGTTAGACTATGTAATATGAAAGTAGGATTAAAAAGCTTAGGTAAGCTTAGCTCGGTTGATGATATTATAAATGGGGTAAAGAATATTAAACCTCGTTTAACTATAGTTTTATTATTAACATAATTTATTTTCAATTTTAGATTGAGAAACATTCCACTTTGTCGTATAATTCTAGCGTCGTCTATTGTTATGGGATTACGCAACAACCCGAGTAGTCTCAGGACTTACTTGGGCCAAAATTTTTACAAGTTGGATTTGAAATTAAAACTAAAAAACTAAAATCATTGCAAAGAATTTCAACAGGTTTATTTAAAATGCATTATTTGAAATTAGTTCATAGAGACCTTCATCCTGTGAAATCTTTTATATAGTTGATATTTAGAATTGAATATCTCGATCTAGGCCTTTGTAAAATATTGGATAAAACAAGAAAACAAAACTCGCAAAGAAATTTATGGTGTTCTTCCGCACGTTGCACCTGAAGTCTTGTGTAGTCATGCTTACACACCGGCAGCAAGAATTTATTCATTTTTCATTTGAAATGATCACCCATAATATAATATTCAAGGCCTACATCCAAAATACACTAACTGGCTTTTAAATTTTTCAAACTTATTACAACCCAACTAATATCCCTAATTACGAGAAAGTAATTGAAATGTTATCGGATGACAATGCAGGTGAATATAATGTAGATCGTATAACATTTATTGCTTTCCAAATTTCCTTAAAATTTTTTAATTTAAACTCGTTACAGACTTGAGTTTGGTTGTTTTGGATAATTCGGATTTTTTAGGTATTTTTGGAATAATCACAACTATAGCAATGACTTAACTTATTAAATTAAGAATCACAAATTTTACTTTTTATTAAATATTTGAGAAATTTTTTCTGCTCATGAAAATGTTTAACTATAACTTATTTACTGTATATAACTTGGATTATAACTTATAATAGAACTCAAGCGATTAATCTCTTACTTTTATAAAACTTATACCAAATGTAATTATAGGAGTCTTGAAAGAGACAAATAATAATTTTATATAATTATAAAACATTGAACCATTAGCATTTCATTTTCGAAAGTTCAGTATGGCTTCTGGAAGCAATACATGATCTTAATTCTTTATCATGTAATATATAATATACAGTACTTATAAAAACTTTTGAGTAAAAGTGAAATAGAAATTATCATTAACAACTAATTTTTTTAAATTTTCATAATCAATAAAAGAAAAAATCCTAGGATATGCAGATCTTTTTTTTCTTACCTTAATAATACCAAATTGTTAAATTTTCTTTATAATATTCTATATAACAAATTTATTGTACTCAATAACAAATACAATAGCATATGCAGAATTTCTTTTTTGATAACCATAAATTATTGTTTTTTTTTAATCTTTTGTTAGATTTTTGTTAATATCTATTGTTATAAACAATAAAAAAAATTATGATAATATAATACATGTTATATAATTAATATATTTCTAGGAGAAATAATAAAAAAGTAATAGAAAAAAATTGAAATTGAAATAAAAGTATTAGCATTTAAATAGCTTTAATTAAAAAACCATTTTAAAATCTAAACTTTTATATGTGTTAATTATTGCTACTGTTGTTTACTTATTCATATAATTATATAAACCAAAGTTTAACTGGAAAAATTGTAAAAGCTAATTGAATTTTTAATATTAGTCAAAATTAAAATATTATTAAGCAAAAATAAAATTATAATCAAATTCAAATATATTTTAAAATTAATATTCTTAAATAATATCTTATATTTATTTTATTACTTGATATATTATTATATCATAATTGTAAAAAGTTTAGAAATTAACTTATTAATTAGTTAATAATATTATTATTTATAAAAAAAATTTCAATTAAACTAATTTTATTATGCAAATATATCTTTTTTAATATTATATAATATTTGAATAAAATTTAAACAATATCAAAATAATATTTCTTTTTTCTTTTTTTTTTTTTACTGCGAATAAGCATAAAATGCAAAACTTTATTTACTAATTGATAGTATTGTCATTATATTAAGAATCCTACACCACCTCATTCGGTGAGAGTTAATCCTAGCCTATTGCATGTATAACTTTTAATGCTACATTACACTAAGTAAGTGGTGCCACACCAAAAGTGG